GGACATACTGCTCTATACTAGGCTACGGGCTGCCTGTGCTTGGAATCACAACGCCTTCTTGGTATTTTTCAAGATGGCCGACCTCTTGTTTCCAGGCCCTTACATATTCAAACGAGCGTTAAAATCCCCGCTCGATTCCCCGCTGAGAAAACCATTCGTTAAATCCCCGAACCCCCAGTGCAATCATGCTCTTAAAAGCACATCAAAAACGCGTCACGTCCCCGTTCAGTGCCCCGCTAGCCGCGGGGGCCGGGGGGCGGGGATTTCAATTGACTAGTGCATTAAGGTGTTGACACAAGATTTAATCTGCATTGAGAACCCCAGAAGAGCAGTACTGTCATACAGCTTTATCACAGGACCATTTGTAAGCTTGTTCACATGGGCTGTGGCGATGTGAYAAGGTTCACCAAAGTATCGACTCAAGATTTTGCTTGCTTCCTTGTATCCAAGTGCTGGATCTAACGAGGCACAACTTTCCYCGAGCAATACTGCAACAAATAAGTCAACCTTTCACTGTCTGACACTGTTCGTCTYTCGATGTTGTTGTCGAAAAACGTGAAAAAAGTCCAAGTACTCAAGAGGATCTCCGGTAAATATCATCATGTCGGTTTGAGCAAGTGCAAATCCATTCCTTATTGTTGAAGCGATGAAATGACGATTTTCTTGCTGATTAGTGATTAATCGTTGCTGACATTCCACMATAGACTCTTGTAGTTTAACCAACTTACTGATTTCATTGTTTTCATGCGAAGCAACAGCAGGATTGTCCTTCGGATAATGAGCAACATTCGGCTTGTACATCGTAGGAATGAAGACATAAGGTTTGTATTGCATTGGAGTTTCAAACTTGAGTTAACCATGAACTTGACTACCATCGGTAAATACACTTCGACTTGCTTTAAACTTTGAAGGAGCAATTAACTCAGGCCCCGTCCACACTATCCCCATCGGCAGTAGATTTAGTTTTTAATAGAGTGGTTTTCAAAAACCCGTGAAATACGCTTTAGCGTGTTACACTTTAATACACTTTATTGTCCGAATTTTCTTTTGATTTTTCTTTTGATTTTTCGTCTTTCCATGTAAATTACAGGTTTCATATATATATATATAGTATACACAGTATTTTGCTCTGTCATTGACCACATGTCATGACCATAGGATCAATGGGAGTTGGCTCTTAATATTTGGACCCAGAGCGGTACGTAAGCCACCCTCCCGCCCTTATCACCCT